TTCGGGTTCATTCATGTCCAATAAACTTCAAACAAAAGGAGATTCGGGTATCAGAGTTGAGTGGACAGGCGACGGGAGGATAGGGGGAAGAGTAAAGACAAGACGAAAGCAAGAGTTCCGGCATCTTACTTTACTAGTTTCATTTCCGTATGATAGTTACCCCTTTCTCGGTAAAGCAGAGTGAGCAGCTTCTCTTTGCTACTGCTGCCATACCACAAAGAAGTCCAATAGCTGCGCTTACTTCTTCCTTCAACCCTGAAAAAAGCATATGCATCCCGGGATTCTCTCCATCTCAGAAGTGGATTCCCCTGCAAGGGTACTTGAGTACGACTACGGCTATGAAAAGCTTATCGAAAGAGGAGGAAAGAGCGTAAACTCGACTCTAAAAGTTTCAGTTGCCTCCCTCTCTCCGCCCTATAACTGAAAAAAGGAGCACGGCGAAAAGCCAACCTGATTTTTTTTTATTCGTTTGACGAGGGAAGATCTTAAGTACTGAATTAATTAAATTACACCTATATCGCGAAAAAGAGCTGCTCTAGCTTTAGCGCGCACCCTTTCTCCTATGAGGAAAGTGACTCTTTCCGATTCATGTCTGGCCCTTCCTGGATCTGGATCACAGTATACCGGCGACTTTGTCCTGAATTCATTCTATTTCATATCCACCGATCCGTGGAAGAGACCAAGGAAGAGTAAGATAGATTTAGGGCCGGCAGGCGGGTCTAGAATAGATTCCCAATGGGTCCTGACTTTTCAACAACAGAGGCGAAAACTTACTCTTTCAAGTCAAAGTCAAAGTCGGGTAGACCTAAGGAGAGTTTATTTTACAGTTGTTCCAGGGATATGGGTATAGAGTGAATTCTATTCACTCTTTATGAAGTTCCGTGCACTCCTTATATCATAAAGAAAAAAGTAAGTATGGTGCCCCGGTAGACGCGCAGACCGAGTGAGTTTCCGCCGATCCCGATCCAGATGTGCCAAAGATTGAGGACTATGAGGGTACGGTGCTATCCTTGTACTTTGTTTGTTGCACATGGCCTAATGTACACTTGCCCCCTTTTTCTCACTCTTTTGGTGGTTTGTCAATTTGAATCTATTTTCTTTATGCTACCGAAAGACGGAAAGGGGAACCGACTCGTTCCTTCCTTGCGGAGGACGAATCAAGGCCTGAAGTTGGTTCGTCGAGCAAGAGGAGAGAAGGATCAACAAGGATTTCATACCCTATGCTAGTTCTTTTTCTCTCTCCCCCAGATATGCCTTTAATAAGTCCTCCACCTATTCTCGTGTGACGACATCTATGATTGTGAAATTCAGGAATGAACAGTTGCAACAATCATGTTCAATTTCTTTTGACAGTTTTAGATTATGGTGTTATATATATATATATATATATATATATATATAGTTCATGGAAAGGTAGCTCACATACCTTTCCAGGCCTAATTCTTTAATAATCACTTCAGCTCTTTCATACTTCTGACGTCGACTCATCTTGCTTGGAAGTCTTAAGAATGCAGCAAAAACTAGGTTTCCTCTACAGTCAATTGTGGAAAAAGCACATCATCTTGTGTCACGAAACCCACCTAGCACAACATTGCTCAATTCGGTATGGAAGTTAATACAAAATCATGTACATTGAAAGAAGACTTTTATATATTCTTGGTTTTAAAGGCAATGAAAGAGAGNGACTTAACGTTTTCCACAAACCCTTGAAAAGACCAAGGGTTACAACCACACAAAAAAAAATATATATATATATATATATATATATATATAACAAAGAAAATAATAATGTAATCTCAGTGACGAACACAATTAATAAGGATTTGGGGTTTAGGACACGCATCATTTCCTTAATGGTTTACTCCTACTCCTAAAAGGTTTCCAAAGTAAAACCCACACGCATTAGGATTTAGGATACGTATAGAGTTACTCCGATTTCTATAGGGTTTCTAAATAACAACAACTTATATTATAAATCTATATAAACCCTTCTTCTTCCTTCTATAAACTCATCAACAGTTTGACCTACATAAAAAAAATGCCAATATCCACGCACAGTCCTTATTTCTTCCTGCTTATGTTCTGCATTTTGGTTGATTTGATATTCTTATACAATGTTATAAAATACTTGTTTATTTATGGAGTAACACGACGACAACGTTCGAACCATGTAGAGGAATTTGCAGCAGCAGTGACAACAGGATTAAGAACACAACCAAAATCAGCAATTATTGAAGTGGTGATTGATGTTATAGAAGAAGGAATAACAACTCCAGCAATTAAAGGAAAAAACAGTGACTGCTCTATTTGTATAGCAGAAACTAAATATAGGGAGATTTCTTTGATCCTTCCTATTTGTGGCCATAAGTTTCATAAAGCCTGTATTGAACCTTGGTTAAAAGAAAAAAAGACATGTCCCTTGTGTCGAATTCGTGTTCGCGACGGCTGCATTATTGAAGAAACGATCAACACTTATATAGTCCAGTGATATCGGCTGAAATTTTCACACGATAGGCTTTTATATATATATATATATATATATATATATATTTTAGCAGGGTTTATTATTCTATTCCAATCTAAGTAGTAGAACATACCTTTCCTTTTTCTGTATTTGAGAGAAAAGTTTTATATATTTGATTTTGAGAAGTTATAATATGTTTATCATCGTCTGTACGGGTATTTCAATTCTTCTCTCTTCCTTTGCATGCATGTAAAATTAATATTGATGGTGCCTAATAATTATTACTAGGATTTACATTGTACGCGGCAACAGTATAAAGATATTTTACACCTATCACTAGCTAGTGTTCGTTCAACTTAGGTTAATTAACATTCTTATCTGGTTACCCATTATATATATCATAAAACCGGTTTATATGTAATTAATTACCTTATAAGTGATTTAGTTATGTATTTCACATTTTTTATGCACTTGATTTCTTATTACTATGAGTTTTCCCAAAAAATGGTAGCTAGCTAGGGGTTTACAAAGGAAATCGACAAAGCACACCAAATTGATATTCCGAGTCAAACAGAGAAAAAACCCGACTATCATTCGGTTTGATTTGTGGCACTGCATTCATCTATACGTACGTAATTAAAAGAACACAGGGAGAGAGACACATCCTCCCAAAAATAAATTGATTTCCCACCTGGTGCGCAGTGCCCGCATTGGGCCCGACTATATCTGCATTTGTGCCGGAAAACCAATATTGG